CATTATTCATAGCGTTTTCGGCCCGATCGGGTTTGCACCAACGTGGGTTGGATTAATCTTTCCTATTGGTTGATGTCACACGCTCTACCAATAGGAGAGCGCAAAACGCCATTAATCCAACCCAGGTTGGTGCAAACCCGGTCGGGCCGAAAACGCTATCAGATTCATCGCTTACTTAGAGGAGACGGGAGAAACCCCGTGGATCGAAACGGAACCAACCATAGTCGCGATATCTAGCGTCCGACTGTAGCCAATCGGTGGGCTGGACAAGTCTCGTCGCGGAAATTTTATCGCTCGAAACGCGAAGTAGCATCCCACCATAGCCTCAGGATAGCGCCAATACCGGGGGCCGGCCGGTGCTCCCTCGAGACGTAACAACCCCAAAGCTCTGATTGGACGGCTCGTTATTCCCTGTTGCCTATGCCTATTGCCTGTGTCTATTGTGTTTCCAGCTTTACATCCACTTCTTCAGAGGGCAGCAGTACGCGGGGGCATTTTGCGGTTACAGGAAACAGGCCCTCATGTCCTCTCTTATGTTTCTCTCTGCACGAATTTCATAACATCTCTGTTCAATGTTCGGTAAATAACAAGGATGGAGTAATAACTGGGCGGGATAACGTTTCTGAACGCAGCCAAGTTAAAGAGGCCCTAAGAATCGATCTACAAAACCGAAAATCGAAGGTAAAAGAATCGATTTTCTAAAAAAATCAATCTTGAATCAAAGATCGAACATCCCTACTTTGGTTGGTCCATACATGATGGAATCAGATTCCACACATCATGGGTACATACTGTATGATACGTATTTCAATACCAGTATTGGTTGACTAGACGGTTAAATTTTATTGTATTATATTACATTATACTGCGTGTGTTGTGTGTGTGCTTATATTTTATCTTATACATAACTACGATCATTTGTTCCTGTTTATGTATAGAGAGTCAAAGGTAAGGATCAGAATCGTTGTCGGCGCTATGTACCCTAACTGCAGAGTGCATATCGGTTAATGATTTATAAGTGTGCCCTGGAGATAACCTGATTTACTATTACTCTTTCTCTATTATTGTAGATAAGATTTGTTATGAAAGAATAGTAAAAGCATAAATTGCTGATTCAATGTGCTGGATTCAACATAAATAGTTGATTCAAAGCACTGGATCAACTATTAGAATATTGATGTAATTATTAATTTTCAAGACAATCCGCTTGTTTATACATATAACAAATGCACATTACATCGATAAATTTCATCCGATACCCGTTTTATTATAGAACCATTAAGATCGTGATGCTACAAATAGCAATTGACCAAAGCTCTCAAAATGATCCTTTTATATTATTTTATTTGAATGTAAAATGATATTAACTTTATTTACATTATGTAGCATAGTTTTTTTAAATATTTTTAGTGTTTTGCCAATTTGATCGATCGATGGGACCAATAATTTTATTATTTCGAGATAAGAAAAAGTCACTGACCATGTATATATTTATGATTTTTTAAAATTTAAAACTCATCGGTTAATTATAGTTATATTCTCACTCCATTTTTGTATGATTGAATTATACAGAGTCAGAATTTTGCTATAAGCGGCCAGCATCCTTTTAATCACTATGTTCATACAGTGGTTTAGGACAATAAAAATAGGTATGCAGAATCCATGGTTTTGTTCATGGTATCATGATAAAAAAGAAAATTTTAATCTGACAAAATGGCACCACATAAATACTGCGCGTTTGAAAGTAACTTATCTGTTTGAATATCGAAGTAACAAATAAAGGACAGAATGGGGGAAAAATATATTTTCAGGCTGTTTCAATATGATTCATAAAGGACTACGTCCGTTAGTACTCTGTGGTCCGTCGGGCACTGGAAAAAGTACTCTGATAAAGCGATTGTTTGATGAATTTCCCAATACCTTCAAATTTTCGGTGTCTCATACAACTAGAATGCCACGGCCTGGTGAAGAGGATGGGGTTCACTATCATTTCACAAACAAAGAAAAAATGCAAGAACAAATAGAAAATGGGGAGTTTATTGAAACTGCTGTATTTAGCGGGAATCTATATGGAACGAGGTAAATATAGACAAATATTAAATAATTGTGTAGAAAACGATATACAATCTAAATGCCATTGTAGCAAACAAGCGGTTGAAGATGTACAAAGTTTAGGAAAGATATGCGTGTTAGATATTGACATACAAGGTGTAAAACAAATAAAACGCATCGATCTGAATCCCTTTTACATATTTATAAAACCACCATCTATTACGGAATTGGAGCAACGATTAAAGGGTAGAAACACAGAAACTGAAGAATCTTTGAAACGTAGATTATTGATTGCCAAATCTGAATTAGAATATGGTATGCTTTACAGTTTACACAATACGCACAATTAATATTAAAAAAAAATTATTTAAAATTCATACTCATGCCTAAATGTCTATTTCATGTACTTGCTTATAGGTGAAACACCTGGTAATTTTGACGTTGTCATAGAAAATGATAATTTGGAAGAAGCATATCAGATTTTACGCAATTTTGTGGTATCCAATTATAATCCACATTGCCATACAGGTGAATCAAATGTTTCCCGTTTCTTTTGGTATTAATCTTTCTATCGTGATAGCATAAATATCTTTATGGCAAAAATATTGTGATTGGTAGTACAATAACATATTAATCAAATTATAAGAATTAATATTTTATAGGATTAGTATTATTTTATAGAGGTAACATATGTTTTATCTTTATATCAGAAAATATTTTTCAGACGAGACAACAAGCTAATAGTTGAGAATTGAAATCTAATGGATCCATGGATGAGACTCATATCTGGACACGAATAACGAATTGTTTCCGATGACATTTTCGCAAATTACTATTTCGGACGTATCTGATAAATATGTAATTAAAAGGTGTGTACACACACACACAAATTTTACAAGTTGAAATTGAAGCTAATCCATATAATCTACATCTTTACATTGTCGCATATTTGAGGAGTAAACTTTCAAAATGCGTTTTGTCCAAAATTTCATTTTTTTTAGTTAGAGATGGCGTGTAGTGTTCAGTCTTGAATGTTATAAGCTACTCTGAGATGTTCAGGGGAGGGCTCCGATTGCACACATCGCATATTGCACACATGTATCGCTGATTGGCCAATTTAAAAATAAAATAATCTCATTGGTAAAACAGTGAAAAATTACTAGGCACCAGTTGATATGAGTGGTGTGTACAATCAGAACTAGGCAAACAGGATCCTCCCGACATTTCGAAGTGCATTATAATTTTTAACTAGAAGCAAACAAAATGCATTTATTTAACATTTTTAGCAATTGTTAAACAATTGCGTTTAATATTTTACATTTTACTGATTGACATATTGCTATTTTCTGTAAAGTGCGTAGTTTTCTTGTGTGCATAGTTTCTTTCTCGTTTTCTGAAAATTACACATTTTTGACAAAACGCATTTTGAAAGTCTGTTTCTCATTTGTATGTACCTTATTTTTAATTGCAGAGATTGCCATTCTTATAGCATATTCCACACTTTTGCATTAAGCCCGATCTGATTTTAAAACAAGCAAGTGCTAGAAATATCTGGTGGATGAAAGATAGAAGAAATATCTTATTCCCCTAATTAATATATAAACGTATAGTAGCTGATTTTTTTATCAAATAAGAAATCCATTTTTTAATAGGGATGTGAAGAGTTTTTTCGCACTAAGATAAGAGTTTTAGCTTAATGTTCAAGAAGTAATTCACAGAAATAAAACGTAAAATTGTAGATGTAGATAACTGAGACTATTCACCAAAAAAGGTTGTGTTCCAGTAGAGTAGACTATGTGTAAAGTACTTGCGGTTTCATCTTTGTATTTATCTTCATGATCAATATAGAAGCATCGGAATGTAATTACTTCTGGTTTACATTACGATATATTGGATTTCATACAAGCATCTCAACTACGTAGAATTAAGATTATAAAAAGAATTCGGTAAACATTCCTATAATATTTTTATGATAGATAAATGATAAGATTGTGCAGAAAACATCTAAAATTTGATACGTCCACGCTTGTTTCCATTGTGCATACAATTCGAAGCCTGTAATTATTTCTTAGCTGGATGAAAAATTGATAAGATCATATATAAAATATATATTTATCGAGTAATCTATATGATTAATCTATATCAAAAATGATCGAATCGTGTAGGCTAAGTTGCACTAATAATCTTGTTAAACTGAATACGCCTTTATATATAGTAAATAGCATATTAGACAGAGAGAAAATCTCTTTACTTTTAAAATTAACTGATGTAATTAATAACTCTTAAAAATAAGTCACAGAAAATATTTTATTGTAAGTATGTTATAAAGAATAATTATTGCATGTATATTTAATGGTATATTCAATAAATAGTATTGAGATAGTATAGTCAGTATTATTTAATGATATGAGATATAACCGGAAAACAGTATATAAATCTAATAAAAATATAATAGTAATAAGGCTCAATAAATTTAAAAAATGAAAGAAAAAGGGCTACGAGCCTAAGAGGTAGTCATTAGAAATAGAAATTTTTTTAAAAATCACAGGATAAATATTTAGTCAGAATATAAAACTTTAATTTGCCAGCAATAAACAATAGAACACAAACAAACGTTTCGATCCCTATTGGATCATTATCAATGTTAATACACAAAAATAGAACGGTGAAAAATATTATAAAGTTAAAATATATAAAAATTACAATTCGCTCTCAATCGCAAGCAATAATAAAACTCACAGTTATTTAATATAATAAAATTCGCTCAGTATGAGTTTCACATAACTTTCAACTCATACTGAGCGAAATTTATTATATTAAACAACTGTGAGTTTTATTATATTATTGCTTGCGATTGAGAGCGAATTGTAATTTTTATATATTTTAACTTTGTAATATTTTTCACCGTTCTATTTTTGTGTATTAACATTGATAATGATCCAACAGGGATCGAAACGTTTGTTTGTGTTCTATTGTTTATTGCCGGCAAATTAAAGTTTTATATTCTGACTAAATTACATTTATCCTGTGATTTTTAAAAAAATTTCTATTTTTAACGACTAACTCTTAGGCTCGTAGCCCTTTTTCTTTCATTTTTTTATAAATCTAATAATTAAAATTACATACATTTTATTTCTATGAAATAGTCGGATAAGCAGTGGGTTGTGAGCGATGACGATAAGGGAATTCACCATGATGATGACGCGTTTTGTGTCGTGGTTGTTTGCTTATTTCGATAGACGTTACTTTGACATTTTCTCCTATTCTATCGCGGGTATCATTGGTGATTTCTTCACGAATGAGATCGTCACCGTAAGTTCGTGGTGTAGACTGGTCAATCGGCTTCTCATTTTGTTTATCCAGTCGCGGAGGCATTGGTTTCTTGAAAAACGTATATCTGACTATTTGAGGCCGCGGTTGAAAAATATTCTCTGGAGGTAACGAGTCGGAGGTATCGATCGGCGATGGTATGTCAACAGCTTGCGTTCCGCTGACACTCATTTCGCTTGTACTTCCACTCGTACCGACTCCCTCGAAATATATAGGTCGTTCTTTTGCATTACGTACATCCAATTTTCGAGGTAACGACACTTCAAAACTCGACCGTTTCGACGAATCCATTTCGACGAATTTACGATTTCCTGGAAACATATAACTACCGTCTTCTCCATTTTTATTAATTTCTCTAGAATAGATTCCCAGCTGAGGTCGATGGATGGTACGATCGAGATATCCTTCAAGAGTGTTCCAATTTTCTAGATCACGGGAAATTGCTCTTTTAACGAGCTTAGAAATTTCTTCGATATTCACAGCTTGCGAATTTTTATCATTATCGAAAGTCGTTGAATGTTCATTGGAGAAAGATGCAAGTTCACTTGTAGTGTCATAATTGCGTTGAGAGCCTGTCACTTCCCATTGTTTTCTCGGTAAAATTTCGTTATCCACAATGACGAATGATTCATTAATCATAACAGGATGATTTGCAGGTTCCAAATGCGCGATGCGCTTGAAGGGCACCTGAAAACTCGTTTCCAACACCGTATTTTGATCAAAGCGTTTTTCTTCATGAACGTCGCGAGTGTCCGGATAGTATGCCTCGTAGAATACCGGTCCCTTGTCCAAGTAATAACTACCCACGTATCTAAAGAACAATCAATAGTAAAATTTATGTTTAGATTACCATCCAAGTATCCACAAAAGTTTAAATATCGAAAAATGTTTTGTATTTCATGTGTTAAACTCAGGGTTGGGTAGTGCTAAATTAAAAAGTTAAAAGTTCAGTTAAAAAGTTAAAAAGTTAATTAATTTTAACTTAACTTAGTTACATTTTAGACTCCTAACTTTTTAACTTTATTTAGTTACATTTTATCGGTAACTAATAACTTTTTATTAATTTTTTTAAAGTTAAGTGTTAGACACAATACGAGCCACACGTAACCAACGATACGAATTCCGGCCAGCTTGTAGCTGCTTGCAGCAGTTGCAGCACGCGATCAGCGCCTTCATCAATCATCGGCGGTCGATGGCGCTGATCGTGTCCTGCAAGTCGGTCGATATTCGCATCATATGATCACTGATACGCGTTATGGTACGTTTCCACTGAGCGCAACGCGTGACGCGCTCAGTGGAAACGTACCATAACACTACGCTGTTCCGTGTTGATGGATGGCACTGTTGATGTCCTGCAAGCGGACACGAGTTTGCATTACTGGTTCTAACTTGCAGGACTTGCAGTAGCTTGTAGTGTCTATAGTTTGCTGCTGCATTTATTCGGTTCTAATCTTTGACCATATACCTCTGGACTGCTAACGGCAGCCATTACTGGAATCCAAGATCTCAGAGCCATCAGGTCCGGAGGTTGGCCA